CACGCATCCTCTATTTTTGCATCCTTATGATATACTGAGCTCAGTTTTGATCCCAATTCAGCTCGCCGGGTCTGAAAACTATGGGTTATGGCGTAGGACAATGCGAATTGCTCTTCAAGCTAAGCAAAAGCTAGGGTTTGTAACTGGTAGATGTAAGAAGAAAACCTTTAAGAATGAATTACATGAGGAATGTGAGACATGCAATGGGATTGTGCTCTCATGAATCATGCTATATCAATGAACCTCGTTAGTGGAATAGCTTATGCATCAGATACAAACCTATTTTGGGAAGACCTGAATGAGAGATTTGATAAGGTCAATAGAGTTCGAATTTTTCAATTGCACATAGAAATTGCAACGATTTCCCAATGAACTGACTCTGTTGATTCCTATTTCACGAGACTGAAGGAAATATGGTCGGAGTATGATATTTTAGTTCCCACGCCAGGTTGTGATGTGCTAAATCAAAGGACTACATTGAACACCTTCATCGTCAAAGGTTGCTTCAGTTTCTCAGTGGTCTGAATGAGACCTATGAGCTGGCAAGGAGGCAGATTCTTATGAAAACATTTGAACCAACCTTGAACCAAGCCTATATGTTGAATTGAGGATGAAACCAAAGATCAAGTCCATATTCAGCCTTAGGAGCTAGAAGAAATCCTATTGCTATGCAAGCTAGACGAGGACAAGACTACAAAGGGAAGAAGCCATTCATGAAATGTGACTACTGTAAGATGACTTGACACTTGAAAGAAAATTACTACAAGTTGATAGGCTACCCTGCAGATTTTAATGCTAAAAGGAAGGTTGTGGCCAACCGTGCAACTGGTAATGCTGAGCATGAAGAAAAGGTACACATGGCTGGAGGAAGAGCACGCAACGATGGTCCTGCGTGAGGGCGCTTCTTTATTGAGAATCAATATAGGCAAATCCTGGATATGCTGAATAAAGATACCATAGTTCCACAAGTCAACATGGCAGGTATTGCTACTGCACTAATGACTAATAATCCTATAAGGAATGGATAGTTGATTCTGGCGCGACTCATCACATAGCTGCTTCCTTAGATATACTACACTCTAAGACCAGTGAGAAGACAAATATATCTCACATTGGTAGTACAACATTTCTTAAGGACATGGAGATTAAGAATGTTTTATATGTTCTTGACTTCATATTCAATTTGTTATCTGTGTCAAAGCTCACAAAAGAACTCAATTTCTCTGTTCATCTCTATCATGACTTTTGTGTATTTCAGGACCTTTGGAATGGCAGGGTGAAGGGGACCGGTAAGGAAATGGGAGGCATGTATCTGGTAAAGGATGAGCACATTGCTAGAGGTTTGAGGCAAGCATCAGTTGCAACAGTCTAGAAACCATAAGTAGATGGCATTCTTTGGCATAAAAGATTAGGCCACACCTCTGTCAGTATAATAAAAATATAGAATCCTTACAGCTTAAAGATCTTGATGTGAATAAAGACTGTTATGACTTCCCCTTAGCTAAACAGAGCAGACTAGTTTTTCCTAGAAGTGTTACAATGAGTAGTAGTCCTTTAATGCCTTTGCACATGGATGTTTGGGACCATACAAGTTTCCCACACATGATAGAAAATACTACTTTCTACCAGTTGTGGATGATTATTCTAGATATACTTGAGTATATTTACTACGGTTGAAAAGTGATGTAATTGTTGTGTACAAAAGTTTCTCTCTATGCTAAGAACACAATTTGGTGTAGCAATTTAGACTGTTAGAACTGATAGTGGAGGAGAGTTTTTTTAGTAAATAGTGCATTGAATTACTTGAATTCTATGATATTATACATTAAAGTAGTTGCACATATACTCCCCAACAAAATGGGGTAGTCGAGAGAAAATATAGACATATATTAGATACAGCAAGGGTCCCAAAATTCCAAGCAAATGTACCAACTAAGTACTGGGGATAATGTATTACTACCGGTTTTACATCATAAACAGGCTCCCTTCTATCATTCTGCAAGGAAAATCACCCTATGAACTCTTATATCTTCAGAAGCCTTCTCTTGAGCACTTAAGAGTGTTTGGATGCCTGTGCTATGCCACCACTATGATACATGACAACAAGTTCTCAACAAGAGCCAAACATGTCGTACACCTGGGCTATTCAGACACACAAAAGGTGTCACGAATCAATTCCTCCTATAGGTCGTGATGGCGCCAAATGTTATCGCTAGGCAAGCCCACAGTGAACTAACCACATGATTGTTTCTTTTAACAATTTAGAAATAACTGATTTTTAATTAGTGAATAAATAAGAAGAAAATTTAATAAAATGAGAGATAAATAATTTTAAGAGCAAATGAGATAAGTAAATAACCAAAAATCATCATGTGTCTACTAGCATCATTTCCAAGACCTGGTGTCACAAGTGTATGAGCTACTAGAAGAATATACCAAAAAAAATATACTATACTACTGTCTCAAGTGAAATAGACAGAAAATGAAAGCAAAAGAAAGACTTTGGGTGCTGCAGAACGGGCTCAGAAGGCAGCTCACTGCAAAGTCTCGTAGAATCAAGGATGTGCGCCGGACTGATAACCAAATGCACCTGCCTCAGATCCTGCACGATTAGTGCAAAAGTGTAGCGTGAGTACATAAACAACATGTACCCAGTATGTATCTAGTCTAACCTCGAAGAAGTAGTGATGAGGGGTCGACTCCGACACTTACTATGGGCTAACAATAAAATGCTAGAAATTTTAAATAAACATGGGCTATAAAAATGAAACTGTAAACTCAATAACAAGAAATAAATAAACTATTCTTTACTGATTGTAATTTCTAAGTAAATTTCCATCATTTAACAATTTAACCTCTCAATCCAATGAAACAATATCAAGTATAATTGGGCTCCAAGTATTGATATGCACGGATTATGCCGAGGTCATACGGTCCGATCCAAAATATAAACATATATATTGTGCACTGCCGAGGGTCGAAAGACACGAACCATAGATGCATCTATTCTAGTGCCGAGGTGCTCGGCCCGCTCCACAAGAAGAGAAAATACTTAATAATATTTGATTTCAAGATAAATAAGAGGCTAATATACAAAGAAATACCAATTCCCATTAACGGTCAAGTAACCCGCCAAACTCAAGTAATTGAAGTTCGATCTTTTACAATTCCTTTATCACGTTCTAACATAATATGAGCACTTTAATTAACAAGTAAGGTGCAAACAATACAAGTGTTTCATGATTTGGGTCCTAGACTACCCGGACATAAGCATAATTAGTAGCTACGCACGGACTCTCGCCGCCTCGTGCGTACGTAGCCCCCCACATTTATAAGAACATATTAATTCAAATCAGCTATGGGGTAGATTCCCTCTTACAAGGTTAGAAAAGAGACTTACCTCGTCTCAAAGCTCATTTCCGGTCACAAATTCGCCCTAAAGTCCCAATTCGGTTTCGAACAACCCAAAACTAGTCAAATAAGATATAAATTAATCAATACACACAAAAGTTCATATTCTAACTATTAGAGTCATTTCCCAACCCCAATTGAAGAATTTCTAAAATTCACCCCAGGCCCCACGTGCCCGGATTCCAGAAATTTTCGAAGATAAATGTTATCCATAGCCTCACGAACTCAAATATATAATTTTTACCCCTTTCCATAATCAATTTCGTAGGTAAATCCCATTTTTATTAAAACCTGGATTTTTCATCTAAACCCATAATTTTCACAAATTCACATGTTAAAATCTATCCATGATCTATGTATTAAACTACAGTGGGTAGGAATTACTTACCTTCAATAGCTAGGTTGAAATCCCCATATTTGAAGCTCCAAAATCGCCCAAGGGTGTAGTAAATGAACCCAAAAATGGCTTAAGTAGCGATTTAAAACACACTGCCCAGCTGCCCCCTTCTTCGCGAACACAGAATAGGCCTCGCGTTCGCGAAGGCAAATAGCCCAGGCCTAGGAAATCTTGGCCTACGTGAACGCGGCGTGGGACTCGCGAACGTGGAGGCTTACCAGCCCAGCCCTACGCGAACGTGAAGAGCAATGGCACTGACCCTCCCTAGGTCCCTTCCTTATACGTGAACGCAAAGGGGCCTTCGCGAACACGTAGGCTTGGGACCTCAAGGCTCTGTGAACACGACCACTTTATCGCAAACGCGAAGGGAAAATTGCCCCACTACCCAAATCCTTCATCGCAAACGTGATTGTCCGTCCGCGTTCGCGAAGAAGGAAACCAAAACTGGAAAATCTGGTTTCTCGAACTTGGCTCCAGGTGGTTCAAAACACACCCGAGCCCCTCGGGAACCCGTCCAAATATACCAACAAGTCTATAAACATAATATAGACTTGCCCGAACTCTTGAAACGTGTAAAATAACAACAAAACCAAGAATCACACCCCAAAATCAAATTGAATCAAGTTATGAACTTCAAGTTTCCAAATCGCTCTGAATGCGGCGAATCATACTTAGACTACTCGGAATGACATCAAATTTTTTGCGTGCAAGTCTTAAATAATCATACGGACTATTCCCGGTCTCGAAATCCCAATTGGACCTCGATAACACCAATACCTACTCCAAACCAAATTTAAAGAACTTAAAAACCTTCAAAGAGTCAACTTTCACTATTAGGCGCAGAAACGCTTCCGGGTCATCCAAACCCCGATCCGAATATACGCCCAAGTCCGAAACCATCATACAAACCTATTGGAACTATCAAATCCTAATTCTGATGTCGTTTGCTCAAAACATTGACCAAAGTCAAACTTAGCCCTTTTTGCCAACCTTAAGAAACCAAGTGTTCCGATTTCAACCTGAACCCTTCCAAATCTCGAACTAACCATCCTCGTACGTCATAAAATAGTAAAAACATATACGGAGAGTCTTATTTAGGGGAACGAGATTCTAGAAAGCAAAACAACTAGTCTGATCGTTACAAAAGGGCTACAAACTCTTGGACCTTGCAACTAATCACCTTTTTGTGTGCATGGATGTTGTACTCAATGAGCATATATTCCCATTTGCTAAGTCTTCCTCATTGCATCCTGTTAATGTTCTTTCTATATGGAGTGTATCATTTGATCATGAACCATTACAGGGACATGCTGCAGATCATACACTTGAACTATTGCATACACCTGCTGCAGATCATGCACCTGAAGGTGAAGCTGATGCAGTGATGACTTTGATGCAGTCCATTAAGTTCATGAAGATGATGAAGCTGATGCAGTTTGTGAAATGCCCCCATTTCTCATGTTGAAGAAGGCAACATTGTTGATGTTGCAGTATTTGAACCTCAGCAAGCTGAACATGATGAGTATACAAAAAATGATCCTGCACCAGGCCAATCTCTGTATGTTGAATACATAGAGGTTGTACCTAAATATATACCCTCATAACTCAGAGGTCAAGAGCCAAGAAGATCTGGCAGAAGCACCAAAGAACCTATATGGTTACAAGATTATGTTACCAAGAGCAAAGCACATAATGTGGCACTATATCCTATTTCGGACTATCTGTGTTATGATCAGCTTTCACAGGCATGCAAAAGTTTTGTGCAAAGGTCTCAGCACTCACAGAACCACAGAACTTCACATAAGCATCAAGAGACAAGAGATGAGTTGAAGCAATGAAGCAGGAAATCAAGGCATTGGAGGACAACAAGACATATGAGATAGTAGACTTGCCCAGGGAAAAGAACACGATTAGATAAAAATGAACTAATGGAGATGTTGAAAGGTTCAAGTCCAGGCTAGTAGCAAAAAGATACAACCGAAAAGAAGGTTAGACTACCATGAGACCTTTTCACCAGTTAGAAAAATGGTAATTGTAATGTCAGTTATTGCAGTAGCAGCATCAAAAGGGTGGATTATGTATCAAATTGATGTGTATAATGCATTTTTGCAGGGAGACTTATATGAAGAAGTATATATGAAAATGCCTAAAGATTTTCGAAGACAGGGGGAGACTAAGGTGTGCAAGCTAGTGAGGTCCTTATATGGACTAAAACAAGCTTCAAGACAGTGGAACATCAAACTTACAGATGCACTTCTTAAAACAGGGTATAAGCAAAATCTATATGACTATTCACTGTTTACCGGGAAGAAATGAGCTGACTTTGTGGTTGTTTTTGTGTATGTGGATGATCTGCTCATCACAAGAACAATGAGCAGCTCATTCAGGAAACTAAAGATGTTTTAAATCACAAATTCAAAGTAAAAGATTTGGGAGAACTAAAGTACTTCTTGGGAATTGAAGTTGTGAACCAGTAAATGGATCTTACTAAACCAACGGAAGTATGCCTTGCAATTGGTTTCTGATCTGGGGTTGGGAGCTACTAAACCAGTAGCCACTCCAATAGATAAGAATCAAAAGTTTACTTCAGTAGAATTTGATGCTCATGTTGGAGTATCTTGAGATGAATTGATGAAAGATGCTGCAGGTTATCGGAGATTGAATGGGTGGTTGATATATTTGATTATCACAAGGCCAGATATAATATTTACTGTGCAAACACTTAGTCAATTTATGCAGTCACCCATGCAGTCTCACTGGGAAGCAGCAATAAGAGTTGTAAGGTATATCAAACTGGATCCAGGAATGGGAATTCTGCTGAGCAGTAAAAGTGGAAACAGTCTGACTTGCTTTTGTGATGTAGACTAGGATGCATGTCCTAATACCAGAAGGTTAGTAACTGGTTTCTTTGTAAAGTTTGGGAAATTATTGGTGTCATAGAAGTCTAAGAAGCAACAGACAATGTTTAGAAGCTCAGCAGGATCAGAATATAGAAGTCTTGCAACAACTACTGCAAAAGTAGTTTGGCTACTTGGGTTGTTCACAGAGCTTGGTATTTCAATTGAGCAGCCTGTGAGTGTGTTTTCTGACAGTAAGGCAGCCCTACAGATTGCAACCAATCCTATATTTCACGAAAGGACAAGCATATAAATATTGATTGCCACTTTGTGAGAGATAAGATCAAATATGGCAGGATCAAGACTCATCACATAGGGACAAAGGAGCAGCAAGCAAATCTATTGACTAAAGGACTTGGGAGAGTACAACATGAATATTTGTCGAGCAAGCTTGGAGTGCTTAACATTCTACACCTTCCAGCTTGAGGGGAGGGGGGTGTGAGAATAGGAGATAGTATGACAGCTGGGCAAGGCAGTTAGCCAGCTGTCACCAGTTAGTTAGGGTAGTTACAGTAGTTGGCATTAGTTGATTGGGGATTAAGTTAGTAGATGTCTAGCAATCGTGTATATATATGATGTATATCGGATTTCGTAATTACAATTCAATATACTAGAAAGTTCCTTACCAATTATTCTCTCTCTAATGTTCATCTTCTTCTCCTAAACATAACTGACTCGTTTGGACCTCCATTAATAGAGGATGAGCTGTGACTGCAATCAGCTCAACTCTCACTATCAAAGACATCTTTTAAGTTCGAAACTCGCGACCTCTAATTAAGGATAGAACAATAGTTACCGCCCTACAAAAATCTCTGGTGGTTATCCTCGTTAAGGTTGAAGCCCCTTTATTTTTAAAAAAAAAATTTCTCGAAAAGAATATTTTCTCTTGCATGATTTGTGCTTGATTCAGATCTTGCTCCAACGTCTCCCCTACTTGAATGACTTCTTTGAATTTTCATTTATGACTGAATATAGTCTTAGTGCACGTCCTGATTCCACAAGGAGTTCCCTTCAAAAGTGCTTAAAGGCAGATTTGTATTTGTATTTATTGGAATTCCATTAATTTAAACATCCTCACTTTATAAGTTTTTTAAATCAAGGCCTTCAATTCTTGGATTACCTTCCTAAATAAATCTTTTTGTTAATTCAAATTGTTGTACACTTTAGGATAGGAGCTCTCACACACCTTGCCAAGATTCAATCGTAACTCAAGAATTAATATGCGACACTCAAGGATGTAGAATATGAGTGGCAAATGGGCGGGTCGAGTCGGATATGGTTCGGGTCGAAAACGAGTAATGAAAAAAATGGATTAATTATCCGACCCGATCCATATTATCCATGAATTCTTACATATGATCACTTTTGGGAGAATTCTTAGTCTCCCTAACTTGAGGAAACCCCAATTTGAGGCTTTACAAATGTAAAAGTTAGACTCATTGGTTATCAATTGGTTACTCATTGGTTATCCATTTTATAAATGGATAATATGGTTTTTATCCATATTTGACCCATTTTAAAAAAGTTCATTATCCAACTCATTTTTTAGTGGATAATATGGGTGGTCAATTATTTTCTTTTAACCATTTTGCGACCCCTAACGTAGAACAACGCCGCACACCACCCTCACCCGAATTTCACTAGTATACAACTATACATCGACAATATAAGAAAATTTTAACACCATCACACGCAATTGACACACCTTTTAATTTTGTACTGTGGTATACCATGAACATTGTGCATTACAGGTGCTAAAGGCCATGCAAAAGAAGAGTGACAATCAATTTATATTACTTGACCATCAAAATCATTAAGAGAAATTGCACTAGAAGGTATTATCCGAATTTGGTCAATAATTTATTCCTGTGAGTGTACTAAATAATTATATAGGGAAACTTTATCTTGCTATACAAATTAAAACAGTTTCATTTGTGGTAAGTAGACACCATTTTTTACCAAGAGTTTAACCCCCCCCCCCCCCTCTTCCCCCCTCCAACTTTGTTTTGTTCATTTATTTCCTCTCGTCACAACTCCATCTAATAACTATATCCATGACCGACCAAATGCCACACAAGGCTGACGTGAAAATTCACCATCAACAATAACAAATTTAATGTAATTCCACACGTAGGGTCTGGGGAGGACAGTGTGTATGCAGATATTATCCATATCGTGTGAAGGTAGAGATGTTATTTCCGATAGACCTTCGGCTCAAGGAATAGTGACAATAAAGTAACAAATAGTAGCAACAACAATATAATAAGAGCAAATGACACAACATGTAATAACAAAAGAACCGGGAATAACAAAAATACAAAAATAGTACCGGTACTACTGGTATGACTAAGAGACTAAAGACTACATGTCAACCTTCCACCCTAATTCCCGACCTCCTACCTTTTCCTATTGAGGGTCATATCCTCAGTAAGCTGGAGCAATGTCATATCTTGCCTAATCACCTTGCCCCAATACTTCTTTGGCCTACCCCTACCCTTTCTTAGACCTTCTATGGTCAATCTCTCACACCTCCTGATCGGGGCGTATATGACTCCCCTCTGCACGTGCCCGGACCATCACATCCTCGATTCCTGCAGTTGGTCCTCCACAGAGGCCATACCCACCTTGTCCCTAATAACTTCGTTGCTAATCTTTTCTTTCCTGATATGCCCATAACAATGCAACCAAAAGAATAAGGCAAGCCTTTAATCAGTTAACCTTTCACAAAGGATTTGCAAACTAGATTACATCCATCTCTAACATCTTTAGTTCAACTACCTTTATCTTTTGACGTGAAAATTTACCCAAAAATAAATAAATAAAAAGAACTGAATTTTTACTGAAGTTGAGCTTTTCAATTTCACCAATTTCTTGTCTGTTGATTCCTTTCTTTCTTTCTTTTCTTATATTTGAAATTCACCGGCTCATCTAATTCACATTCACATAGTGTACGACCCATTAAACGGAAAAATATTATTTTCAAAAGTTTCTACATCCCATTACTCGAATCCGAATCCGAAACTTTTGATTAGTAGTTATAATTTCAACAAGCTCATGATTTCAACATTCAAAGCCAAAGATTCAGCTACTATCTTTGTCCATTTCTTAAGATTCAGCTACTATCTTTGTCCATTTCTTAATCGAACAAGAGATTTAAATAAGCAAATCAAATATAGGGGCCAACTTTTTCTTTTCAAAACCACTAGGGATTTTAATCCCGGTATTAAAATTATTAAGGATTGCTGATAACTTGATACATTTTAATGTTGAGTAATTACTGAATATTGACAGTGCTTATAGTTATAAAGTTATATATTCTAAAATTAATTGTTTGCGATATTATTAAAGATTTATTGGAAAGTTAGTCGGAAAGAATGAATCCCGAAAATATATAAATATAAAATAGTCTACAATCCAAGCTCTTCAATTGATTAATAAAAAGTTCTTAGTTTGTCAATGTAAAATTGGTAATTGAACTTATTTTTATCACAAAGGATACTATAAATTGTATTTTTTAAAAGCCAAAATCTCTAACTAATTGTATAAAAATAAAAGAAAAGTGGATTAACACGTTTCAGAAGAAATAAAAGCTGAAAATTTTGAGAACCTGATAAAAGCCAAAATCTCTAACTAATTGAATAAAAATAAAACAAATGTGGATTAACACGTTTCAGAAGATAAAAACTAAAGAAAATTGAGAACCGATAAAAGCCAAAATCTCTAACTAATTGTATAAAAATAAAACAAAAGTGAACTAACACATTTCAGAAGTAATAAAAACTAAAAAAATTTGAAAATTGATAAAAGCCAAGATTTCTAACTAATTGTATAAAAATAATAGAAAAGTGGATTAACACGTTTCAGAAGTAATAAGAAACTAAAATTTTTGAGAATGGATAAAAGCCAAAATCTCTAACTAATTGTATAAAAAATTAAAGAAAAAATGGATTAACACGTTTCAGAAGTAATAAAAATACTGTACCATTTATCTCCACATGTTCTTTACCTACCAGCGCGTGTCAAAAAGCCCACAATTTCTTCTTACCTTTGTAACTGCTCGTCTGAATTCAACACAAAAAGCCATCGGTTTTTCCAAAATAAGAAAAATGGAAAAAAACAAATAAAAGTCTGTCCAAAATTCCAACACACTCCTTTGAATTCTTCACAACAAATCAAAATCCACCGTTCACCACTTCAACTACACCATCCTAAACTCCTCACAACAAAGATTATCCTTCTAATTTTACATAAATGCAAAACACATCCACTTTGTTTCTAAAATTACACTTTACTTCCATCTAATTTGATACTTTTATAACAACGTTTCGTGAGTGGACATGCATTTTTACTTAAAAAAATTAAAGTTTTGTAATTTAAATAAAAAAATTCACTCAAAAACTAGCCCAAATCAATTTTTAGAACCTGAAAATTTTTTCTTCATTTTTTTTTTCAAAAACTAATCAAATTTCATGAGCAAATAATATTTTTAACTTTTTTCGAAAAGAGTAACAAAGAAAAATTATGTCCAAACGACAGCTAAGTTTAAGACATTAATTTTATTTGTGTACTCTTTTCAGCTTCTTGAGCCAATGGTCTTTCGGAAATAGTCTCTCTATCTCTCGGGGTAGGGATAAGATTTGTGTATGCACTACCCTCCCCACATCCCACTAACAAAATTCTGGGTTGTTGTTGTACGTATGTACTAGTGGAAAAAAAAAAAGATATCGAAACAATAGCTAAAAAGCTAATCATTATCAAAATTCAAACATGGGTGTTATTTATAATGTCACATTTAACCTAGAGTATGAACCAATTAAAAGATATATAAAAATAAAATCAAATAAGCTAAGGTTGTTGATGTATGCATCAACATCTTTGACATCTAAAATTTAATCGGCTTGCTTTATAAAAAATACTATTAGAATTTGAGATATCTTCCAAGAATATGTTTAATTTAATGTTATATTAACAAACTCGATGAGTGTTATTTATCACATTTAGCTTATAGTCTGAAGTCTGAACCAATTAAAAGTTAGGAAAAAACAAACCAACTGATGTTGTTAATATATCTAATAGGAAAAGATCAAACCAACCGGCGTTCTTAATATATCTATCAGTCTTTAGAAATCTAAATTTAATTTGTCTACATTATAAAAACTATTGGAATTTAAGATATCCTCCCATAAATATATTTACTTTTGCAATTAGCTCTATTTCTTTAGGTGAATAATAAAGTTTTTTAACGGTAAAAAGTACATTAGCCCACCCTATAACTAACTATATACTATTAATTTAATATTGAATTGAAGCATAACCAACCCAAGTAACTAGGGGTGTTCATGGTTCGGTTTTGATCGGTTTTTCCCTAAAAAGAAACTGTTTGGCTCAAAAGTTAACGATATACTTTGTAAGCTAAAAAACAATCAAAAGTAGGAAAAGGGGTAAATCGTAATCAAATATAATAATCCTAGAGATGCAAAGATGATAATATTGTTGTAGATCTAGTATTGCAAAGTGATAATATGAACTCAATAAGATATGTTCGTTTGAAGTAGAGATAGAGAGAGAAAGCTAGAAAAATGAGAGAGTTGTATTATATCAGATGACCCTTTTACAATGTGAGGGTCTCCTTTATATAATAAGAGACCCTCCTCGAAAGAATCAAAAAGTTACAAAGACAGGTAACGTCTCCCTAGTGAAGACACTGAGTCCTAAACGATGTCGCTTTTGTCCCCACGGCCGAGTCGTACCTGCTACGTTAGTCGGCGTACACTCACTGGGCGTACCCACTGGCATAGAGATGCTGAGGGTCAAATTTGACCCTATACAGTTAGTCCCTCCGCTCGTTGGAGACGCATTCGGTGGGCGTCTTCGATGGGCGGAAATGTGAACCTCGGCTTAGGAGAATTTGACCTCGACCCGGGGCGACAATATGAACGAGGTGAAATATATGACGTTGTTGAGCCACTGACGCGTGGCTTCCTTTTTGGAATGACGTCATTGCCTGTATGCATCATTATTATATTTGCCCCCGAGGCGGTTCAGAGGATGATGTGACATTTTGGTTTTCCGCGCATGCTTTGAATCATGACTCTTCGATTTCTGCGCAACTTATCCCTATAAGTAGGAGAGAGGTTCGATTCGATTCAACTTTCAAGCCTTCGGAAAGCATTTTCTGATGTACTCCTTTGTCTTTCTTTCCTGTAACCGTTATTTTGCGAGGGACTCTCCCACTTCTGTCGAAACCACACTTCCTATCGTCAGTGCTTCGTTTCTTACGCAGTATAATCATGACAAAACGTGGACAGAGTAGTAAAAAGGCCAAAGATAATGCCCCGTCTAGGGTTCCGCCATCTTCCGGTGGTGAAGGGGAAAAGGCGGAGAAGGCCCTTGTTCCTCTCAGCGTAGACAACGTCCTTCCGAAGGAGATGCATGTCCGCAGGGATTTTCCAACTAAAAGCCCAGACCTTCCCTGGGAGCACACCGTTTTAATACAATCCCATTTAGATGATCTATGAGAGACGCACCATATTCCGGACCACGTGGAAACTGGTTCCGGCCGGGACGGGACNGTCAGACCTTCGGATGGGGAAGGTTAGATCTCTGCACCTGGTGTGATGCTAGGGGTTGCATTCAGGATGCCATCATCACTGGCCTCGTTGAGAGGGCTAAGGAGATTGGTAGTGACACCCAATATAGCTTTCGATCTTGTGTTATTTTCGGCCATCTTCTGTTTTTGTGTGGTGTAGAGAGTGGTAGTTAGTTGATCTCTAGGTGGATACTATGGTTTTGATTCTCGAAATCCCCACAGACGGCGCCAAATTGTTTGGCTCAAAAGTTAACGATATACTTTGTAAGCTAAAAAACAATCAAAAGTAGGAAAAGGGGTAAATCGTAAAACAAATATAATAATCCTAGAGATGCAAAGATGATAATATTGTTGTAGATCTAGTATTGCAAAGTGATAATATGAACTCAATAAGATATGTTCGTTTGAAGTAGAGATAGAGAGAGAAAGCTAGAAAAACGAAAGAGAGTTGTATTATATCAGATGACCCTTTTACAATGTGAGGGTCTCCTTTATATAATAAGAGACCCTCCTCGAAAGAATCAAAAAGTTACAAAGACAGGTAACGTCTCCCTAGTGAAGACACTGAGTCCTAAACGATGTCGCTTTTGTCCCCACGGCCGAGTCGTACCCGCTACGTTAGTCGGCGTACACTCACTGGGAGTACCCACTGGCGTAGAGATGCTGAGGGTCAAATTTGACCCTATACAGAAACCAAACCAAGTAAGTCGGTTTTTCAAATATTAGAACCAAACCAAACCAATTAAGTCGGGTTTTTTTTCGATGCGGTTTATGTTGGGTTTGTCGGTTTTTCGGTTATTTATCGATTTTTTCGGTTTTTTGTCGGTTTTTTCTTAAATATATGACATACACTACCAAACACATATTCCGACGACCACATTTCAACGTAACACTATCAAATCAATTGCCCTTTGAGAAATCTATTATTTACCAAAATATATTGATGATAATTGAATCAAATAGTGATGAATAATTTAAGGACTCAATTAAAAATACATTATTTTTAACACGAAATATGGATTCTTATACTTAACAAAAGAAAACTACCAATCAAACTATAATGTAAAGGTAAAGAACTATACTAAAAGTGCAAACTATTAACATTTATCATAAATTTTTTGAAACTTTGTATAAAAATATACATATATATAGGTGTAATAATAAATTTGAAATAGCTACTCCTATGGTTCGGTTTTTTTCGGTTTTCTCCTGATTAAAACCAAAACCAAACCAAATTTGATCGGTTTTTGAAATTCAAAACCAAAACCAAACCAAATCAAAAAGTATCGATTTTTTTAGTCGGTTTGGTTTGGTTTTCGGTTTGATTTGGTTTTTCGGTTTTTTATGAACACCCCTACAAGTAACCTTATAAACCAACAACTCAACACAATTATAATATGGAAAAGAAAGAAATGCCAACTTGGGGATAAAAAAAAAAATTCTTAAACTTAGGGAGGGGATCATTTGAAATATGATAAAAGTAAAGGGGAGGTTAATACAATTGACTCAAACTTGTAACTTAAAGACGAAAATTCCAGGAATATTGCGACTAAGCCCACCAAAATAAAAAGAAAAAACATCCTCCATCCTTTTTCTCTCTCTTCTTTTTTTTCTTCTCATTCGACAAGTACGAAGAAGAAGGAGAAGAAGAAAAGAGAATTTAGTGAGAGAAAGTTTAGAGAGAGAGTTGAACCCACAGTTTTCAGCTAAAACCACTGAGATGACAATTTCTAGGGTTTTGTGAATTTGATAAGAAATTTCAGAGGAAAGACGAAAACTGAACTCTGAGATGGAAATGCCAGGTAGACGATCGAATTATACTTTGTTGAGTCAAGTTCCCGACGATAATTTTCTTCCTCCGCCGTCGAAGTACGGAGGCGGCGGCGGAGCACAGTATTACGAGTCTCATTCTGGAGAGAAGAGTAATAAAGGCAAAGGAGTTGGTGATAATAGAGGATATGATTGGGATTTGATTGATCACCGAATGATGCAAGCGCCGACGACAAATCGGATCGGTGCGGCGGCACAGTTTCCAGGTTCGATTGGTTTACAGAGGCAATCGAGTGGGAGTAGCTTCGGTGAGAGTTCGATCTCCGGTGAGTATTACATGCCGTCGTCGCTTTCTAATGCTGAAGCATCGTTTGGATATCTCAATGACGGTGGCGGTGGCGGTGCTGAATTGAGGATGAAGCCGTTGGATGCTGCTAACTTGTGTGGCTCATCTTCTAAGAGTTGGGCACAGCAGACCGAGGAGAGTTACCAGCTGCAGTTAGCATTGGCTTTAAGGCTTTCTTCAGAAGCTACTTGTGCTGATGATCCCAATTTCTTGGATCCTGTGCCTGATGAATCCGCTTCCCGTGCGTCTGCTTCATCTGCTTCAGTCGAGACCGTTTGCCATCGATTCTGGGTATGGTTAAGGGTTATTCTTTTGTGTTTATTTTTTCCCCCATGTCTATATTTATTTGTATGTGTGCCTCTTTATGCTTTAGGAATGTGTTGAACAATTCGCATTGACAAAAAAACAAAGAATAGGTTTGGATACCAAATCTTTGAAATAGGCAATAGATTGGTGCTGAGGAGTGTTTGGTTTGGTATAAATGTAGGTGACGTAGATTAATAGCAAAAAGTGGAGGACAGGGTATTATGGTCGTGTTTAAGTGATACTTTGGAGTATTAAAGGTTGAATAATGTCTAGTGTCTAACTGTGGAGTAAGAGGACAATGGCTTCTGTCCAAAAATAAGGAGGGAAAGCCAATTTCCTGTTGTTAGAGAAAAAATTTCCCGGGGAAGACATTTTCACGATGTAAGGTGATATTCTCCTGGAAATCACTTTCCTTCATACCAACGCACAAAATTCGTAATGAATGTGTTTCTTCAAATGTAAGTGCACTTAAACAGTTGTCGAATATTAAAATTGTTGGATCCTTTTACAACTCCTATAAAGATGAGTAGCTTCTATAGTAGTACTGCATCCTGATATCTCTTGAATATGTCGAGACTAATGTGTCACGTAATGTGGAGTTCAAGAACGAAATTAATTGTTTAATCTCTCAGAGGTTGCCTAACATCTTAAGCTACTCCAGTAGTTTTGTAACGAGATATACAGTGGATACCAATCTTTTATTTTCCACAAAACATTGGAAGTTGTTCTTTTTCTGTGAATGACAGTCACCTTTCTCATTGTATAATGCAACATCAATCTGGAATGGATTCTTTTCAAATCGGCAGTGTGTATTCTGGTATTCTTTTATCATTATATAAGTACAGGTTAATCTGTTAAGTGTTTCATTCAAAATCTGGTTGACCGGCTATCTAATTCTTGATTGAAAAGGAAAACAAAGGTTGTTATCCACGTTAAGGTATGGTACACCCCTTAGACCCTTATATGGTTGTCTCTGCGCTCTTGATGCACCTGCAGCTTAAGTATGATTTGTAAGGAGATATGTTTACCTGAACTGACATGAATTTTTTACCCCAGACACATAACCTTACTGGAAACGATGATGCCTATTACTTTTAAATTTATATAAATAGATCAGCTTGTATAGGCACATAAAAGGTAATAAAATGTAAGGCCCTTTTACTGTTTTTGATACATCGTATGAATAATCAATGTGTGTGGTACAAACTACCGAGAAGATTCCCTTTATCAATCCAGTATGGAGGAGAATTTGTAAACTCTTGTCTAGAATATTCAAGACAAATTATGAGACTCATACTCGTTCTACATATAGTATGTGCATGATTGATGAAGATAACTCTAAGATCCAGTGTATCCAACCAATACAATGTAATATCAAAAAACAGTATTGTGATATGGGAATTACTTCATAATTTATGATCGCTCCATAAAACTAATTGAAAAGAGTGTTAAAGCAATAGTTGGAATTGTGTAAAGGAGGTCCAAAATAGAATAAGATTTATTTCTTTTGAGTTTGAATTTTAATTTAGTATGAAGTGGATCACCCGATACCCACCAAAGAAGATAAAAGGACTTCTACATTACACATTTTTCATAAGGTGTTAATGAGAGTCTTTTGTTTATTGATTAAAAAACATGTTTTTCATAATGTGTTAATGAAATCTTTTGCTTGCTGATTAAGACAAACACGTTGGTGGAAGTGGAGAAGAATTGTATCGCATGGATAAAAGTTTCTCTTTCGGAGAAGTGGATGAAGTTCTGGATAAGCGAAAAGGAATCGGCATTTGTTTCAGGATAAGAAGAGTAGAAGATATTTATAGAATATTATAGTGCGGCGTGATTGTTATTGCATCTAACATAAATATTCATTTTCTTTTTCGGGCATTGACTCCCTAGGTTGCCCATTGGGGAATTATTTTGTACAGTGAATTAGTTTAATTTTGATGACATACTTTTTAAGACTACCATTCTGATTACTTTTCTTTTTCCTAAACTTAGAAGTGCATGCTTCAAATCTTATTTACATTGATAGGTTGGCCTGGAAACGATGTCTGTGAGAATTCAGGGTGAAATGAAGTATAATCTAGAAAAAGTAAGAGTATTGAAGAAAACAGCTAGAAAGCAGCTCGGTGCCCTAGATAAATTTGCAAAGGATCTTGAAAGTTGCAATTTAAAACAATGTACTTTGTTTAGTATAAAGAAAACTGGAAGAACATAGTAGAAATGGGACAGAACCCATGTCGCGGATCACCAAATCCACTTCAAAAGTGTGATCTTTCATTCTATTCTTGGTTTTGTTTGTGCCCCAGGTTCTGAATGTCTATATCAGAAGATCCGCACATTGTTTCTAAAGTTCTTCCTAGAATTTTTTGTATTAGAAGTAAAACATCGTTCCCTTGGATGGAAGTAAAAAAATTATTCTCTTCTATTAATAAACTGGATAACATTTACCTCATATGTAAGATCGTTTCGACTCATGAAACTGGAATGAGAATCACCGTCCTACTTAAACATGGGGTAGGCTTCGATAGATCATATATTGTATAAACTCAAAAATAACAAATACATTAGAATGTTACTTGAAAATTTAACATAATACAATATTTATAAGAAAACATTTTAAAGAATCTTTTAGATTAAGTCGAGTTGTTTTTAGATTAAAATTGTTGCGGAATCTCTTGAGACGAGGTTAATTATTTGGAATGGAAGATCGCGTGTTTGATTTTAGCATTCCAAAATGATTTGTGTATCCTAATGATTACATCAATAAGGAGTTAGTGGGTTTAACAACCCCACTGCTACTTCAATTGGTTGTGTTCCCATCACTAGTTTAAAATTTGAATGTCTATTTTTAATTTGGCATGGAGTAGAAATTGTGGATTAGCACATATCAAGTGACATCATGTTGAGTTAGTAGTCGCCTTTTAACGTGGGAAATTAGGACGGAAGAAGAAGTGGAATTTAACAACTTGTTTAACTTACCTTTAAGGAGAGTGGAACGTCTAGTTTGGACAAAACATTGATGTGAGAGTAAAAATATGAATTATCACATATCAAGTAACTGCATGTTTAGTTTGTAGCTCCCTTTTACCCTTTGAAATGTAAGATGGGTGAAAGTGGGATTTAACAAATCGTTTAACTTCCTTTTAGGACGCTATAAGTGCTTTACTCAAATTGAATGCTCAAATTGGCGGCTCTATCAGAAAGATTGGAACGTGATGCAATCTCTTTCCTCGATTCTACATCAACAGAAGTCAAGACAAAATCCTGAAGAAAGAAAGAATATTAACTAGCGAAAACCAAATGTTGTTTGCCATCCTACATGTGTCAAAATTCTACTAACTATAGGCTTAGTACTTGACCGTGAATCTAGACAAAAATGTTGGTAACGTATAAATAAAAATAGTCGGTAGTATATTCTCAGGTGTCGTTGCAGTAAACAAATGTAATAACGAGGTGGAATCTGGGACATTGATGACTTGACATCTTAAATGACACGTAGGGAGGAGCTTCTTTACTTTATCAAAGCAAATATTTTTTGACGTGGGACTTGTAATGATAGAGAAAACATGTTAACCAGAGGTCTCGGCTTCGAATTCCAAGAATGGAGAAACTTCTAGTAGGGAGTGCTTCCCCTTTTATTGGCCCCCCTATATGAGGCGATTGAGATTAGTGGGGCCAGTGAGTTTCGAGTACCAGATGGTTATATGAAAGAAAAATGTAGACAAACATGCCTTTTTTATAACGATGGCGTACAATGCAATTTTCCGCACTTTGACTATTCTATCGGGTAATTGTTACCTCCAATCAACACAAGTATTGGGTACTTTTGCCACTCAAGGCTTAGGTAGATGAGAGAATTTCTATGTCCGCTAGGATTTGAACCCTAGTCTCCCATGATTTTCATCCTTCCTGATCTCGTACGACATTTCGATGGATGAACTTTAGGACACCCTTGGTTTAATGTGCCAAAATGCTTGGAAATATTACCTCAATGGTATTTCTTTCCTATATTCCAAATGCTGCGTATAGTGCCCAAGACAATTGTCGCTATTGGGCGGTGAAATGGATTTTGGAATATATTAAAAACTTTAGTGACATCTAGATCTCAGTTAGAGAAGAACATGTCATTTTGAGTTAGAATCTAAAATCATCGAGCAATGGATGCAGATGCATTGATTACGCCTTGTTTGTTAAGTTCTATAATAAATCTCATTAGCCGATTCTCGTGCATATTCCTAATATAAAGATCTATTTGCCAATACTAGACTTTTTAGATGGGAGAAAGCGGAGAAACAAATAGGGGAAATGAGGTGGGTATTTATTCAGAAGCCTCACAAGGAGCTCTCAGTGAGTTTAATTGGTCAAAAATTACCCGACTGTCTCATTTGGATCTTTTAATTTTGATATAAATTTGGTTTTCTCTGGAGTGTGATCTTTCTTGTATTTTGGACTGGAGATATGAATTGAAGCATGTAAATGAGGGAAAAGAAAAGGATGAGGAGAGGAGCGTTCTTGTTTCATGTACCCCCATTGATGAAGGTTCTCTACTTTTTAGTATACTGCTTGTATAGCGGAACTTTTTCCAACATTAGTGAAATTAGTTACCTTATCTTTTTTCTATCATGTACCCTTGTTCTTAGAAATATGATTGCTATGAGGCATATTAGGAAGACGAAGGGGGTAGAAGTTTTTTGTTCACACGTGTTAGTGTATTGTTTTCACAATGATATCTACGAAAAACTAGCGGTGACTGATTATTTGTCTTCTTTTCTTTTACAAATATACTTCTATAACTCATGCTGATAAAACAAGCACTAAAATAGTAGAGTGTATGGCATCCCATATATTCGGTTGAAGGGTATCTTTGCTTGAGTTTCTGAGTAGTGGAGATATTGGGAGATTAGTTATCTCAAAAACTTCCCCTGAGTCAAGGGTTTATCGGAAACAAACTCTCTACCTCCACAAGGTAAGGGTAAGGTCTGCGTACGCATTACCTTCCTAGACCCCACTTGTGGAATTATACTAGATTTGTTGTTGTTGTTGTTAGCTATCTCAAAACGGGGCGTTTATGGTTTTTCTGACCTTCGCCTTTGTTTTTCTTGAGAATTGCCATATCGGCTAAGATCTGCATGGATATTATGTTGCATGACTTTTACGTTGGTACAATTTCAAGCTCGGTAGAACTCTTTGGATTTTTACTTTCTTGATAAATATTCCTTAATACATATTTGGCCAGCCTCTCTATAAAAGTAGAATGTCAATCTGCTATGCAGTAGTGCTGAATGGAGCACTGTACTCATTTTGCAGTGATCTGGTTTGATTTTCAAATTGAAACATTTAGCGCAAAAATTGACCTGCGCATTGGCACTTTTAACAGACTCTCAGTATAACTTGTCTTTAGAATTTTACAGATTAGTCTTTTAGTATATACTGGTCATATCTTAAAGTCCTTTTACTGAAGAGGGTATAGAAGCACAGTTCTTTAATTGAGACTTTCATTTTAGGATAGGCTTAGAATTTTAGGACATTGGAGTCCCAAATTATGTTGGTGAAAAGAAAAAGACTTTCCTTCTTCTGAGCTGTGATTCATAGACGTTGTTAAATAGTCCAGTCTTCTTTGCTGTGTTGAGTGACATTTGTGTAGTTGTGATGGTTATATTGGATCAGAAATACTTGCTACTTCAAAATTCTCAATTACTTTCTTCAATGAGTCCTTCTTGGAAATATGCTTTCAGAATCAGCAGAAGATGCTGCCATGTTAAAGAGAGATAATTCCCCCAGAAATAGGAGCTTTTAACAGAATATAGTACTGTGGTTTTTGTGGAAAAGACACTAAATTTGAGGCTGAGCTGCTTAGGCTATCTTCAGAAGTTCTGTTTCGGAGAAGAGAGTTTTAGGTTTCTTGTATGTAAGATGTGAGCATTGGTAAACCCTCTCTTCCTGTACCAGTCCTTTTCTCTCATGTGTTTCTTGTTACTGTGCCAATAGGAATGACTTAATAACTATCTTCATTCGTGATTTTGTATCTTGTCATTCTCACCATTCAAGCAGAATTTACTCTGCTTATGGATTCTATTGTTTTTGTCATTTGTTTTGTGTTCTTATGATCTCTCTTTCTCTGATTGACACAATCATGCTTTCCAGACGTCCCAGGTTTTTTTTTGCTGAAAGCAATCTGCTATGAATCTTTGTTTTGTACTAGGTAAATGGATGCTTATCGTACTTTGACAAAGTGCCTGATGGATTTTACTTGATTCATGGGATGGATCCATACGTCTGGATTGTCTGCTCAGATCTGCAAGAAAGTGCCCGCATTCCATCTATTGAATCATTGAGGGCCGTTGATCCCTCTGTAGTACCATCACTTGAAGTGATTTTGATTGACCGGCGTAGCGATCCTAGCTTGAAGGAACTGCAGAATCGAATCCATAACCTCTCGCCTAGTTGCATCACAACAAAAGAGGTTGTTGATCAGCTCGCTAAGGTGGTCTGCAATCATATGGGGTGAGTGCCAGAAACTTCTTATTACAAACTCTGATGAAGTGACATTTTGTGTTTTTCCTTATTGTAATTAAGTTTTATTTGTTTTATAAGGGGCACAGCTTCTGCTGGAGAAGATGAGTTGGTTCCTATGTGGAAGGAGTGCAGTGATGACCTGAAGGATTGTCTAGGATCTGTCGTGCTTCCCATTGGTAGCCTGTCTGTTGGCCTTTGTAGGCATCGAGCTTTGCTATTTAAAGTATGTTCTAAATGTGATACATTGATACTAAGTTTGCTGTTTTAGAGTTTCAAGATCTACTTATGCAGGAATTTAAGGATCAATATCTGACTACTGGTGTTCTTTTAATTAAGTAAAAATAAAGAGAAAAGAAAAGGCATGTTTTTGCAAATTATTGTATTTTCTGTGTTCTTAGAGTAAATGTACATTCAATCAGGAGTATTTTGCTTTTGGTGGAACGGTGGAAGTTTGATGTTTTATCATGAATTTCACACGATCGTTGCAGGTGCTAGCTGACATCATTGATTTACCATGTCGAATTGCGAAAGGATGTAAATATTGTAATAGAGCTGATGCTTCCTCATGTCTAGTTCGATTTGGACTTGACAGGTACAAATCCAAGTTATAAATGATCTATATGGAATATATTTTTAGTTCATATTTGGCGAAAAGGGGAATGAGAAGTCCACTCTATTTTGAAAGCCATGTTTGTTTGAAAATTTAATCAATGATAGATAGGAATTGATGTTGCACTTTTCCTTGTTTTGAAAACCATATGCCTCATGTGTTTTATTTGTGATAATCAAATTTTACTTCCCTGCTCTAGTATTCATCTGGATAGTATGTGAAATTGATTTGGACTTTGATTGTGTTGGCTAAAATCTTTTACCTCGTACTCAGTGTGTAATATGGTCAACTTCTACATTTCTTGACCTTTCTGGTTTTTGCTTTCTTTGAAATGCGTAGAGCTGGTTTGTGTATAGAAATGAAACTTACAATACTAGGATTGGGAAAAATGACAATGATGATGTTTGTTATATTTTTGTGTGGTCTTTCTACAATCATGCTGCAATATATGTTTGTAATATCAATCATTGTATCTAGTTCTTGGCCTATGTTAGTACCAACTGAAGTTTCTCCTTGGACTTGTTAATAGCTGCCACTCCTAGTTTTGGCAAAACCATATTTAATTTGGGGTTTTACAGTACATACTACTACAACCTCGGTGCCAAAGAGAATGGTAGTGTTTGGAGTATGTGGGTCACTGCATTTGATATGAATTCAGATATGGATTTCTTTATGTTTTTTAAAGAAAAAAATACGCATCTTGAGACTGCATAAGAGTACTATATATGAAATATAGCTAAAATTGTTTTAAATTTGATTACATAAATAGTAGTCAAACAAAAAGTTGTTCGACTCCTATACATAGTAATGGTACCAGTCTTTTTGGATGAAAGGAGTATTTTGGAGTGACAATGATGTGGTTGATTATTGGTATGATGAGATGGGGATCTTAATATTTGAAAAAACAGATCCCATTGTTAATGTGACTGGAATTGTTTTACCTTATACATTCGTAATAATAATAGATTGTAAGGTTCGTGATTTGATTAGAGGTCCTATCTTATGCTCAGCCCTTAAATGTGGAGAAGAGTCAATCGTAAAAAACTAGGAGCAAGTATTGTGTAGCGAACAGCAGGATGTTATTTTTCTGTGCTTATTTTGACTGGGATTAAGCATGAAAAGATGGTAGTCTTTATCAAAATCTGGAAATGTTAGTTTTTCTGTACACAGCCAGATATATGCTATTGCTAGTAAGGTTAAGGAGGACATAGACATAGTCTTGATTGACATCTAGCTCTTCGCCATACAGGGAGTACCTGGTTGATTTGATTGGGAACCCTGGATGTTTATGTGAACCAGATTCCTCGCTCAATGGCCCATCTTCTATCTCAATTTCTTCACCATTGCGATTTCCGAGATTCAGAGAAGTTGAACCAACAACTGATTTCAGGTCACTTGCCAAACAGTATTTCTCAGATTGTCAATCGCTTAATCTTGTGTTCGAGGATCCTTCAGCAGGTGATCCTACAAATCTTACCTGCTTGCATGAACAGATACATCTTCGATGCTTATTTTGGTTGTTTCCCCGATGTTAAGCTTGACCTTTGCAATGACATGATGTGAGATGTTCAGTTTAACACAATTTATAATGGTTTTCTAGCATTAGATGTTCATGTCCCTTAGACCAGTCTTAAATCTTAACCCAATAATCAATAATTTAGGTTTTCTACCACTAAAAATTCTCTACATCTTTTAATGGCAAACAAATCCAAGGTATTCTGTATTTTGAGGATTCATTGAAATGAGTAGTTTAATACTGGCTGCCAAATTACACACCCCTCATCATTTATCGAGCTTGAGACCGGCTATGTGAAGGAGCTCAAATAGGCGGAGTTGTTTTAGAAGCTTATGAAGGGGAAAAAAGAGAAGTGTCTTTGCTTTTAGAAAGCCAAGCTGACCTCTTGTATGGTCGCTAAGACCTCCAGACTAGACCAGACCACACATCTGAACATTTGATGACCCACGATCTTCTTGGCACCTAATTGGTTTCATAAATTCTTCCGTTGACTATTTCTACGGTTTAGTGTATGTGACCAAAAGGCTCGACTCACATTGATGAAATTAAGATGTTGAGAGAGAATTCCGGAGTTTGTGGAAAGAATTGACCCAAAAAAGAAAACAGAATATTTCTGCGTTTTAAAAAATGTTATGGTATTTTCTCTTCTTTCACAAAACCAGACTTAATTTACTTAGAGAAGTTTATCAGTAGTGAATAGTCTCCCTGCCGTGAAGATGGGAATTTTTCTGATCTTAGTCACTTTTAGCATGTCTATATCTAGAGTCTTTCAGTTTCCTATGCAAATGAAGTACTATTTTCTTGACAAGCTAATTCCCTTGATTTGTACTCGACTTTTATAACCCACATGTTCTGCTTTAAGGTTTTTAATTAATATTATTTGTCACAGGAGCTGCTGTTGATGGAGATTCAGGACAAACTGACCGAAATAATATGGAGAGAAACAGTGTAGTCCCTAGTTCAAGTAACCGTGATGAAATTTCTCGGTTACCTGTCCCTCCAGTTGGGCATGGAGATACTAAACCGCTGATGGCATTATCAGACCCAAGAGGAAGAGGAAATGATATGAGATTTCTCGAGGGAGGAAGTCAACTTGTTCCTGCTAAACAAAGTAGAGACCTTGCCCTTGAAGTAGAAGAATTTGATATTCCCTGGGAAGATCTTGTTCTGAAGGAGAGGATTGGGGCAGGTAATCCCTGCCTGCTGTTTTTTATCTTCCTCTTCAATGTCGTGCTATGATCGTCTCATCACATGTTAGTAATAGTGGGATGCTGTAGTATCATAACTATAACTAACACAGTTTATTGTATTTCAGGGTCTTTTGGTACCGTTCACCGTGCTGATTGGAATGGCTCTGTAAGATATTTTCCTTTTAGTTCTGTGCTCTTGATGCTCGTCTTGGTTATATCTCTTAACTTATTGAGCACTTCGGTGAGGTATTTATTCAGTGTAATTTTTATAAATTATTTGGGCATTTGTTTATTTCTATTTTGCTTTTGGCCTGATCTGCCTCTTGAATAAATGTTGTTGTTCTCTCTCTCTCTCTCTCTCTCTCGCTTCTTTTTGGGTAGTAATTGCCATGTCAAATTTGAGATATACCTTTCTGAATTACTCTGTTTGCTTTGCTTTTATTCCTTCATAATTGCATGCTGATGGAAGCTTACACTTATTAGGATGTTGCTGTGAAGATTCTCATGGAACAAGATTTTCATGCGGAGCGATTCAAGGAATTTTTGCGGGAGGTAATCTAGGGATCTCCCAATCTCCTCAACAAATGACAAGAAAACTGGATGAAAGAGAAAAAAGGGTGTATGAAGATGAGAATGAGTGGATGTCAGTTTTATCATGTGTTTCCTCCAGACCAACTCCACTAATTTGGCTTACCTTTCATTTTTTTAGGTTGCAATTATGAAGCGGTTGCGACATCCAAATATTGTGCTTTTTATGGGTGCTGTCACTCAGCGACCAAACTTGTCCATAGTTACAGAATATTTATCAAGGTTTATCCTGGTAACTCCTCCAAATAATCAGACTTCTTCTTTTTCAGCTTAGCTGACAGTGCCAATGCCGCAATTGTATTACAGAGGTAGCTTATACAGACTTCTTCATAAACCTGGTGCTAGGGAGGTTTTGGATGAAAGGCGTCGGTTGTCTATGGCTTACGATGTGGTATGAATGCTTCCCTACTCTGCCACATTTTATTTATGATCGGGGGCTAATTTCGTAATATCATCTTGTGCAGGCAAAGGGGATGAATTATCTACATAAGCGCAATCCTCCCATTGTTCATAGAGATTTAAAATCTCCAAATCTTTTAGTGGACAAGAAATACACAGTGAAGGTGAAAAGTGCAATCTATCTTCTAAAAAAAAAAGATTTATCTTTTTCTATTGATACAGTTCTAGACTTGCGCTATCAGAGTTGTGCTCTTGGGGGGAGGGGGGGATGGAGGGAGAGACAGACAGGAAGAGAGGATGTCTAGTTTCAGAAACTTTTATAAGCATAAGCTATTGAAGAACAAAAAGCAAGTGTTGAAGGGGTAAAGCTTATGTCAGATTTCTCAGATAATGGAGAATTAACAATGTACTGATGCTGCGGAGAGGATTAAATTCCATAATATATATATATATATATATATATATATATATATATATTTGAGGATTGTACATTACGCTTCTGGTTTTGTAGGCATGTTTAGGTCCAGAAGTTTCTGTCATCTAAATGTACATTGACCATCTGGAACTGTGGTTGTTCAATGGCCATGTAGCTAGGATGCTGGTATTTGATCATCTGGCGCAATGCTAATGTGCTGGATGAGCATGTTGCAAGACATTAAGACTCTACGAGGAGGAAGGAATTTTAGTGTATTTTAGTTTACTATGGAGATAAGTGAGAACATGGGGAACTTCTAGTCTTAGAGAATCCATATGTGTGTCAATGAACCAATTATTGCATTCTCTTCTCCAGAATCTCTTATTCAACCAGTTTCTTTAGTTCACTAATGATTTGTATTAGATGTCTTTCCTCTTAGGTTAGGAGCATGTATTTGGGCTGTTCTTTGTGGCAAGTTGAACCCATCATGAACAAAATCTAAGATCTTGTTTATCTTATTTGTTTACAGCATGCACACAGGAAAACTTACTGTGATCTGATTGATATAGTGTTATTCTGATGTCAAGCAACAAAATAGAAATGAGATACATTTTTAATACATCTCATTGCTTAATGTCAGTGATCTGTTAGAAGCATCTGTTTTTCATAGCTTAGCAGCATGCATAGTGTAGTGTGATTGTCTCTTAGTTGTGTCTCTAATGCTTTATGATGACAACTCTCACTCAAAGTTGTTTATGATAAATACTTGTGTTTTGTTATGGTGTTTATTTTTGCATATTCTGTAAATCTTCTATTTATTGAAGCATGCTGCACGTCCCTACCCGTTTTATGTTTTCGTCAGGTCTGTGATTTTGGTCTTTCTCGTTTAAAAGCGAACACATTTCTCTCATCAAAGTCGGCTGCTGGGACTGTAAGTTCTTCATTCAGCATATGATTTGATTGTCTTTTGTTCATCTTTGGCACTTTGTTTCACCAATGAGAAAAAGGAGTTAATATTGTCTGGTTCTTCTTGTGATAGCCGGAATGGATGGCACCTGAAGTTCTTCGTGATGAACCATCAAATGAGAAATCTGATGTATATAGCTTTGGTGTCATTTTGTGGGAGCTCGCGACGTTGCAACAACCCTGGAGTAATTTGAACCCAGCACAGGTTTGCATTTCTAATCTTTAAGCCCTTTTGTCCACACAGGTATTTAAGGTAGAAAACCTGATGTTAGTGAATGCAATCCAGAGGAATAGCTGTGTATAGGTGAAAGAACCTAAAGCTATATATTGGGATGTGAAAATGAATTGTTGAAGTCGCTTACCGGGGATAGAAACATTCCAATAGTCATTTTATTCCTCTTATGTCAAATGGCTCATTCACGGGATATAGAACAGTGTATTTCCTGGAACAGCAGGACCTTTGTTTTGCAATACTTCATTTGGGTGTAGAGGCCACTCAATTTCTTGTAAGAGTTTGCTTAAGTCATTTTTGTTCCTTTTATGTCTTGTATGACTCATACCAGGTGATGGAGAATAATCCAATTTGCTTCAGCAATTGTCTGAAGAGTCATTTGTTCCTCATCTTATATACCTCTCCTCTCCATGTGGTTTTTGTAGAGAGTTAGTCATTCATTGGGTTGTGAGTGGAGATGTTATAGGGATGCTCTTTCTGTTTCGCTTTGGTTTTGATTTGTGTTCTGTATTTTAGTTTCTTGATAGCTACATGTTGTCAAAGACCTCTCTCTGCCAAAGTTACAGTCAAGTACGAAAAAAGTTGAGAAAAAAGGATGTGGATAAAACAGTATCCATTGCACGGAAGATAATTCTATTAGTGCTCTGTTTTGATTTCTTATATTTCACTTGTACTAAAAATCAGGTAGAGTGCTTGATTTTTTGTCTCGATAGCTGGGTGGCAACAACTTTCTGGTACCTTTGTTTGCAAGCATTGATTTTATGCTAGAAAGAGAACTTGGATCTGCTGATTATTTGCAACATTCCTTGGCACTTGCATTGCATCTTAGTTATATGTTAATGTGGAACATATGCATTGCTGTTTTAATTGGTATGTTCATCTTTAAGAAATTGGGCAAGATGCACCGTCTATCCATTCTTGTGATTGCTGTATTGGTGTAATGCATCTGAACCTGTAGGTTGTAGCAGCTGTCGGCTTTAAGGGGAAAAGACTCGAAATTCCGCGTGACTTGAATCCTCAAGTGGCAAGCATTATTGAGGCTTGCTGGGCCAAGTATGTTGCTTATATTCTTCCATAGTTCAATCACATTGACTTTTCGTTTGCTTTGATGTGCTCTTGAAGTTACTTCTGATAATATTGCAGAGAACCATGGAAACGTCCCTCCTTTTCTGTAATCATGGATATGCTGAGACCACTAATTAAACCTCCCGTAACACCTCCTCAACCAGGTCGTACAGACATGCAGTTGCTTACGTGAATGCGTGTATTAAATGTATGATTTCTGCACATATTTGGCATTCTTTGTTAGTCACCTTTCAGGGAGGAACAGTGCTTCAGTTACTTCAGGTTCGATAATCCTAAAATCTATCTCTTCTTTTTTTCCCCACGAAATCTCTCTCTTCATTCTGCTAAATTTTGCATTTCCCTTGGTGTGTTACTCAATTTTAAGTCAGGTGCAAATCTGCCATTAGTTTCCACAATAGCACTAGAATATTTCGTTTGAATGTAACCTTCTTGCGATGAGGTTTCTTGGGTTAATGGGATCCTCTGAAGTCTGTTGGTGCATTTGAGGTTCTACTTAGTAGATAGGATTGGGCATACAGTTAGACTGGACTGGACACGGCATCAATAGCACCAAATTACTCCCTCCGTTCACTTTTACTTGTCCACTATGGACTTTGCACTCCTCTTAAGAAATAATAAATGAAGTGGATAATTTACCATGATACCCATATTAATTGATGCGTATTTTTAATGAATTTGAGAAAATGATTTGAAATAAGTAATTAATACTGTGGGTATAACCAAAAAAAAAAAAAAAAATCTTGTCTTGATATGCTAAAAATGACAAGTAAAAGTGAAAATCTATTTTTAGAATATTGGACAAGTAAAAGTGAACGGAGGGAGTATTTTGAGTTCCAGTCTTAGCAAGTTAAGTATTGGTGATCATAGCTACTATCCGCCTTCACCTTGGGAGATGTGAGGGGTTCACCTCTCATCTTTCTTTGCTGTTTCTTTTGATCGTATATGACTATGCATTTGTAACCATTGCTAGGGATGAAGTGTACATTAACAACTTTCTGCTGTATAGAGTGCTGAAGTTTGATATCAATGTGCTGTTTGCAGGCGTCTGTTCTGTACATATTCGTTCAGAATGTCTTTGTAGAGCCCGTAATTTTTTTCACAAATTCAAGCAGCCATTTCTCTGAGAATACCATTTGCAATTGGCTTGTACACTTCCTCCTGGAACATTTGTTTAGCCATGTGATTTTGTTAAAGCCAGCAATAACAGTTCTTTAATTTCTGTCCAGAAATGATTTTGTATGTATAAGAATTATAACGGGAATTTGTATTATAGGAAAGCACACTTCGATGTACTTATTTTTGAGTTAGCGTACATGCAATTTCTGCCTCAGATGTTTCCTAATAGAGAAATAGTGTCTACAATCTCTAGATCCATTATTGCTCAAACATAAGGGTTAGTGTTCTGTCGATGAGAGCTAGCTTAACAATGTGAATTCCTAATGATTACTTAGATCTAGTTTTGGACGTTATTAAAACAAAATGGGGTATTATCACTTTTAGCCCGCGCCAGAAATTATTTATATCTGGTAGCCAAAAAAGTGTATATAAAATTCAGAATGTATATGTATATAAAAAAATATATAAATTTTTTATATATTTTTTCAGCTATCATTTTTACCGCGACTATACGTGTCATTTTTCCAAACAAAAGATGACAAACTTTTCTCTAGAGAATTGGCAAAATACATACTTTACCCATTGACCTTATATTCAAATCCCTCTTACACACCTGTTAAACACGGGAATAGTATTACACACTAAAACTTTTAAAAGTGTGTCAATTACACACCTCTTTTGCCATGTGTCACACGCGTGTATTACACATAAAAGAGGCGCGTGAAAACTACAAAATTCATCTGAAATTAAATTTTTTATTTTATTTTTCCCTTTTTTAACTATTTTGTTTACAAATTAAAGAAAAAAAAATATAACCCATGTCTTCTTCCCCAACCCACACCCCAGCGATTCCCTACCCCCCCCCCCCCCCCCCCATTTCGTCTTCTTCCCCAACCTCCATACTAATTTTGTATACCCCTCATATTTCGTCTCTTCAACCCCCATGACTAAGAAGAAAAAGGAAAGAGGAGTTATTGGGTCTTGTAAAAATCACCATTATTGATCTTTTGAAAAAGCTTGAAAATTTAATTGGGTCTTGTTGATTTTGGTGTTCCATGACCTAGAAAATTAGTTTGAATTCGTGATTATTGTTGCATAAAAATTTACTTAGTGGATTAATTTTGATATAATTCAAAAAACACCATTAACAAGTTTGAAGCTTTGGGTTTGAGCTTGATTTTTAAATTTCAATAAGGATTTGTGATGGATGTTAAAACTTGTTAAAAATCGGTAAAAGAGTTGAATCTATAGTTGAGGAAGAAGGTGCTTATAGTGGAAGGGTTGGTGGTAGGATAGTGGTGGTGGAGAAGATGATGGGGTTGGGGAGATGAGGAGGGGGTGGGTTTTTTTCTGTATTTTTTTCTTTGGGAAGATGAGGAGTGGGGTTGGGGGTAGAGGTTTTTTTTCAGTTTTTTCTTTTTTTTTAACCATTTATGACACGTGTCAGACGCTGATTGGCGCGTGTAATAGCAGTCTTTAAGCACATGTGGTCAAACACCGAAGTGGTGTGTAATTGACACACCGTTAAAAGTTTTGGTGTGTAATATTATTCCCGTCTTTAACAGGTATGTAAGAGAGATTTGAGGACAAGGTCGATGGGTAAAGTATGTATTCTGCCCTAGAGAATTTGACCAACCTTTTGGATGATAGCATTATTCTTAAACCTTTGGAACACCCGAAATGTATCTAGTGAAGACATTCTTTAGCTTCCTAACAACTCGAGCATTAAGAAGACAGGCAGAATGTATCTCCTTTTTCTTTTTTCCTTCTACCCCTCTCTCATTGACTTGAATGTATTGTTATGTACCTGAGTAACTTCGTGTAAGAAAATTGGGTTTGGTTACTCAAAACAACTAATAGTCCTATTTGACCAAGCTATAAAAATCAGCTTATTATGAAAAGTGTTTTTCTCAGAAGTACTTTCGGTGAGAAGTAATTTGTGTTTGGCTAATTAATTAAAAATTATTTCTGAGCAGCAATTAGTGTTTGACCAAAGCTTTTAAAAACTGATTCTAAGTGTATTTTTCTCAAAAGTGATTTTTGAGAGAAGCTACTTTTTTCTGTTTTTCCAAAACCGCTTCTGCTTCTCTTCAAAAGCACTTTTTTTCTTCCAAAAGCTTGGCCAAATACTTCAACTTCGAAAAAAAAGCATTTTTTTTGGGAAAAAAAAATATGCTTCCAGGAGTGGAGAAGCTTGGCCAGACAGGCTATTAGTTTGGTCAATTTGTCTAAGAAAAATTGGTTTGGTTACTCAAAACGTTATATTCTGGAAGGTTTCTATAATATTTATGCGCAAAAGTGACAATGTGTCATCGAGATAAACTTTATTAGAGCTCAAAATGGTTAACCAGAAAAATGACACTTGGCATTTTAAGTGGCAACTTTCGATAATATATAATTGGAAAACAAAATAAAATAAACTCATTATTTTTCTTTTCCAAATCCTACGACGCATCTTCCGTTGACGCCTTGAGAAAGGTGTGAGGTGTGGAGGTCAAGAATTATGGTAATAGGTTAGATGGTCTAGTGAATGGAAGGATAGATTTCACTCTCACCTTACAGAGACAGGCTATAATTGTAATTGTGTATCAAAAAAATATATAAGGAATTTGATTCACAAAGTTGAAAAGAGTAAGTAATAACTAATAAAAATATTGAAACATAAGCTAAATACAAGAAAAGATCAGAAGAGATGCGTCCGCCCCCTATATATTTGATACCGTCTCCTAGAATGAAACTAATAACCCCAACCCTAGATTGTTCATACCGGTAGTATTAGTGCATACTCTTGCATTCTCTTGGTATTTAGGTTTCTATGACCATCTGCTTTTACATGGATTCTCGTTGTGGTCTCTTCTTGTCTTTCTTTTTATTAATTTGGTGCTTATGCTTTCCTGAGCCGAGGGTCTATTGGAAACAACCTATCTATCTTCACAAGGTAGGAGTAAGGGCTGTGTACACACTACCCTCACCAGAACCCACTATTTGGGATTATACTGGGTATGTTGTTATTGTCGTCGTCCTAGCCATGTCTTACAGAATGTCCAAAAAGTTAGATGTGTGTGCTGCAATCAGATTGCTCCTGGGAACATCCTATACAATTAGGAAGATACAAATAAGATAATGGGAAATCAAATCATTTAGCAGGATTTATTAGCAGTTTTTTTATGCATCATTGCTTACCTAAGGCAGAGACTCCACAAAGCAAGCTGCTTGGCTGAGGGTATAAGATCCAAGCAACAGCAAAAGAACTTAAACAAAGAAGACACATTATTAAGGAATCAAATCAAATATAGAACAGATAATAGTATGTAAGCTATAAGGCATGAAACACTTCTAAAATCCCTCTACCAGTCAACTCATTTGCTCTCATCCCTCCTTAGACCTTCCAAATCTTTCCCAACTGTCTCTAATATCAACGATTTCATCAAATTATGTATCTGATCCTACCTGACTTGGAAGGAATTCTCAGTCGCAACCTTAAAAAAACTACAACCTTCTTCCCTTGGTTGATGGTTCAAAATCTTGTCCGCCTTCTACACATCATGAATACCATTTATGGATCCAGTGACTAAGTTGGATAAAATGCCACCTTTTGGCCATCAGTTCTTGATTCTCTCCTAAATTTTGCAAGCAAAAATTCTAAAGAAGCATGTGATACCTCAACCTCTCTTTATCTAGATCAAATGGTTTGTTAAACTACCTAAGATAGTATCTTGAACACAGTCCCTGAAGTGTTTTTTAGTAGGTTCTGGTTGGAAAATGGGAAGTAAGTCTAAAGGAGATATGCTAATTCACCTTCCCAATTTCTCGTTCACACTCAGATAAAGAGAAACTTCAGAACAGCCGGGCTTGGTGAGCTAAAATACAGAAAGCTAATACTCTACTAATGCAAGTAACATTCAAGAACTGCACACCATGTCTGTTTATAATCAGCTTCATGTCAAAGAATTCTGGTAAAATAACACTATTCATCAAGCAATCATAATCATATAAGTCACCACAAGGTCCCCATACCTGGATTAAAAATCTTGAGCGAGCAATGTCATTCCGGTCCAGGATTCTCAGAAGAAACCCCATACTCGCCTCCAGTGCTGCAAACCTGCACATTTCACAACTTCAAAGAATAGATGTTAGCAGGAAATATCTGCAGATTATGCCTTCAAATCTTTACAGTTAAGCACCATTAGCAGTGAAAATTGCAGACCAGGAGGAGGGGAATATAGAAGAAAAGAATCAGTGGAAAGTAATTATGCACTAAAAAATTTATAATCAATCATTCAGTATTATATCCCATCAACTAAACTATGGCTAGTATCGAAAACGCACACTGAAGGAAGGGTACTCTTCCTAAAAACTATCATTCTTCGGCAGCCCAAAAGGAGACTCATCATTTGGCCACTTATCGACACCAGAACTTCCAGCTTCCTGCAAGGGATCTATATCCCACAACACATCTGGCAAACCAGCGCTAACTCCAAAGTCTGGGACATCATAGTTGCTAAGACTACCCCATAACTCAGTGCCAGTACTTGACATACTGGCTTCAAAACCCATGCTCCATACTTCCTGTTCTTTCACCATACTTTCAATACCTGGTGAGGAAAATCCTAAGATGTTCTTCTCCTTTTCCAACTCTTCCGGGAAAGAGACAAAACACTCAGGCATGACTTCTAATTGAGGGCTAGCTACATTCTTCCCCTCAAAATAACAGTCTTCGGGGTTAAAGTTCGAAGCTCCTTCTATAACCCGTTCTTGATTTTTTAAAAGCATTGCTTCTGCACCAAAGCCAGTTTCAGGTAGTTGTTGATCCACAACCGGATTGAAGTCCGGGTTCTCAAAGGATGTAACAAGGTCTTGAAAATCAGGCCTGTACTTGACTATCTGCCCTTCAATGGAAGACTCCGGTCTATCCTGATTGTGTGGCTGATGTTTAACGAATTTCCTCATTGTTCTTGGAGAAGTAATTTTTTCTTGTTCCTTCATCTGCCGAAGACGAGCCAAGAATGCGGGATTCTGAAACACCTTGGCCAAGAATGAAACCATCTGTTTCTGTCTCAGTTCTGCAGCCTGAAGCTTCTCATTAACAGCCTCCATTTGTTGGACCGTTCCACGCTGCTGCTGCTGCAATTCAACGACATCCTGCATCATCGAACTCTTCTCCTTCCTCAGTTTCTCTATCTCATCCATTGTACCTTTCCCTGCTTCAGCAGATGAACTCCCCGTCTGATGCGACTGAGGTGATCTTCGCCTCTGTATGTTCTTCAACAAATGCCTTTTTCCTCTCAAGAACCCTTCATTCGCAAACTCCCACCTGTCAGCATCAACTTTGCGAAAACCCTGGACAAAATTGCCCCAAAAAATTATTTAAAAACTGAATAATAGAACCCAACATGCCTACAACATGAGAATACATTCATTATTCATATAACACAATGAAAACTTTATACAAAACCAGATGTTAGCTGTCAAATTTTCATGAGTTCCAGAAGCTGCATTACACTAGAAATACACAATCAGTACATCTTTTGCAGTAAAAACCGTACATATATATAAACTATAGAAAGCTTAAACAAGCTGTTTAATCAAAACCTCAGAAATTCTACCTGCAGAATTTGATGAACCTCCCAAATTCAGCAGATTAATGCAGAGAGATGCTCTCAGCATCTTAGCTTTATCTACAAGCCCAAACCACGAACAGCGCAACCTTTATCATTTTCCTTAATATCCACCAAAAGTTTCAAAGACATCCATTTACAGAGTACCAAAACTAATAAACTATTATGAAAAGTCGTTTCTCTGAAGTTATTTACAACTGTAGCACTACTAATTACAACACAAGAAAGAACTATTTACATTTACATCGTCATTGTTACAAATTATTACAACAGCAGCAACAACTACGTCTCAGTCCCGAACAAGTTGGGGTCGTCTACATGAATGTTCACAGACCGTGTTATTCCATAACAACAGCAACATAAAATATACACTAAAAATTTACAGAAAGTGAGAAGAACAAAAAAACAAAGATACATGAAAATCTCCAACAACAATTACATACAAGGTAAAAGAATTAACAAAAAAAAGGATGCAAGAGTTAAAAGAACTAGAACTAGAGTAGTAACACATGAGCCAAATATTCTTGGCTTTGTGCTAAGGTGATACCCACATAAGTATTAAGCTGTCTCACAAAGCTGGAGAAATTGTTGTGCTTGAAATTTTTGGGAAGAATCATTCTAGAAAACTCCACTGGGTCCCACACTACAAAGCTTTCTCCTTTACTACCCCAAGAAATGATCAAATCCAATGAAGAGTCATCAACTAAATCAAAAGTCTTTGACAAAAATGGTGGAATTTGTGTCCCATGTAAACACTCCATAGGCTGCACCACACCTAATCCTTCCTCCCCAGCTGAAAAAGATTCAAGATTGATAAAAGGAGAAGTTGGGGGCTCAGAATACACAGCAAATTCAGGGTCCATAGTAATACTGTGTGGTGGCAGTGTATCAGATTCTGACCCAGGAGGTTGAGAAATTGGGTTTTTATCAAAAGGGTTCATATGATTTTTTTTCACAACAATATAAAGATTGAATTTTTATGGATCAAAGAGAGGGAATTTCCAAAAGGGTGTTTGATAAAATGAAGAACGGTGAAAAAAAATGGGGTTTAAGAGAGGTTTATATAAGTAACGCCGAGATAGAAATAAAGAAATATCTGAAAGCAGCAGCTGTGTAAAGTCGGTGGAGTTTTTCATAATTCTCTTGTATTGTATGGTTGTCTGAAAATGAAAAAGATTTGAGGAACCGACACAGTTATTTCTTATGTTGTGGAGGAGGAAGAAGAGGAGAAAGAGCAGGTGGGTCCGGTTTAAGCAAAGAAAATAACTAAAGAAGCAGATATTTTTGTGAAAAAGTTTGAAATTTTTTGGAATAATTTGAAGAGGGAAAATTTTATTTTGTATCTCATACAACTTACACTAGTTATATGAGATAATTTTTTGTCTCACAGTTTTGTGGACCCAGAATTCTATGGACCCAGCAGTGTAAGATTGGGGTCCACAATTTTATAAGATAAAAAGGAGTCTCATACAACTAGTGTCAGTTGTATGAGACACAAAATAAAACTTCTCATTTGAAGAGTAGTAGTATTAAATTCAAGAAGAAAAATAAGTTGGCCACAGTTGTGATGGGACAGATAGAATACTTTCCTCCTTAATCAAAAGTTTTGGATTCGAACCACGAATATAAAAAAATCATGTTAAAGAGCATTTTCCCTTTAATAGGATTTGAGTGATGCAAATTCACTGAGCATTTTACCTTTTAAGGATATAGATTTGATCGAAACTTGAAAAAATAAATAATTTTTTTAAAGTTCAAATTGTATTTAGACATGCATTTTACTTGAAAAGAATTTAAAGTTTTGTAAGTAAAAAACTTTAAAAACTACTCTAGAGTTGTTTTTAAGATTGGAAGATTTTGTCACAAATCTAAAAAAAAAAAGGTTAAAAATCTATAACAACAACAACAACAAACTCAGTATAATCTCACGAGAGGGGTCTGCAGAAAGTAGTGTGTATGCAGACCTTACCCCTACCTTGAGAGTAGATAAGTTATTGGTTCGAGGAAAGAAAAAGAAAACAGTAACAACAAGTAATACCAACAGCAAAATAAAATTTATACACAAGCAAATATTTGAAAATAAATTTAAAAAAGAAAAAAACTTCCAAATTTTATGCCTGAAATGGGAGCTTAGTTAAGGCTTAGTATGAGTATCGAATACCGAATAGGAAAAGACAAAAAAAAGAATGGTGAGTTGGTCCAATAAAAATGGAGATATAGAGAAGAGTTTATAGTATTAAAATTAAAGGAGTTTGTGTTTGTGGGGTACCACCATTTGTCTTCTGCATTAAGCAAACATTTATTGAGTATCTTTACTACTGTGCCAAAAAAGATCAGTGGCGGCCAATGAAAATATGAAAATAGGGCGTAGTCCATTAATTTCAATGCACGTGCACTTATAGTAACATCACCTGCAAACTATAGCTTCATTTCATTGGCTGAAATTAGATTCTTTCTTATTTTGACTGCTTCTAGATGAAAATTATCATTTGACGTCTTTCGATGTTTTTCTTTTTTTCTTGGCAGAATACATGGTCAATGAAGTACAGAAAGAACATGTAAATCAAGTTATCAAATGCTAAGTTTTAAAATATCTACATTAATTTAATATTTTACAATAAGTAACTTAGTACTTAAAAAATACCGGAAGTTGTCATTGGTTTAAATGAATACCAAAAGAAAGATAAATAATTAATGACTACTCACTTAGAATATATTTTATCTCATTTGTATTTTTAACTATTTGACGCTTAGTACTATATTATAACCTATTTATATGATGAATAGAAAGAAATGACTTGCATTTTTTGCAGACTAGTTAAATCAAAGACTTTTCTGGTTGATTAATTTAAGGACTTAATTATTTATTCTTAATGTTAAAGAGAATAATTTATTTTTGTTTATTCGAATATTATTATTAGCTCATCTCAAGCTTTAAATATTTAACTGTAGTTATAATTTTTATCCAATAAAAATGCTATGTTCAGATTAATGAAAAATTTGCTATGACACATCATTTTTGGATTATTATGTTAGTACAACTATTAGTGTTATTAAATCTATCGAACACTTCTCTTTCTTTTGAATCCTTAAAATTAAAATATTTTTTTTTAGTTAAACTTGATACTTGAATTTTTAAAAATTAGAATTGATGAACTTTTGTGTCACGACCCAATTTCCAACCCGGTCGTGATGGCGCCCCTCGTGAAGACAAGGCCAGCCAACAGAACACTAACACTTCTTTTAATAATTTCTTAGCATAAACAGGTCTAAATCATAGTTACTGAATAATCATAAGTGCGGAAATAAAACGTAGCATAACGGGGAAAAACCATCCCAAACTCAGCCCGATGATCGGGGTGTCACAAGTCATGAGCTACTACAGAGTTTAAATGAAATACTACAAGTCTGTGTCTAAGAACATAGTCCGAAGATAAATGAAATACTGATGATAAGGAAGAAACGGAGCTGTGGACGTCGACAGCTACCTCGTCTCTCCGGGTCCGCCTGGTCTGGAAGGAATCAGCACTCAGGAACGAACTCAGCTATGCCTGTATCTGCACACATGGTGCAGGGAGTAATGTGAGTACTCCGACCCAGTGAGTAATAAAAAAAAATAACGACTCAGAATATAAAATCCCGTAAAGGCACAAGTAATGCTATCTCAAGCAGTAAAAACTAGATAAAACAGTAAAACCAGTGAAATATAGCAAGAAATTCTCTTTGAAAACAATTAAATCAATTATGCTCAACCAGTAAGAAATGCTCAGAACACTGCCCCTCAGGCATGATTTTTGTTCCTGGTCTGTCATTGTTACCTGACCGGTCAGCCATTGTTACCTGACCAAAACGCGTATTACAGTGCCATTGTTACCACTGATTAGTCATTGTTACCTGATTGGTCAGTCATTATTACCTGACCAAAATGCGCATAACAGTGTCATTGTTACCACTGTCTAAAAGTTAACCGCTCTAGATGGGTACCCGCGCTCACTGTGGGTGTGCAGACTCCGGAGGGGCTCCTACAGCCCAAGCGCTATCAACAAGGCCTGAAAGCCTGAACCATATCAATACGAGGCCTGAAAGCCTGCTCACAATACACTCGAGGCCTGAAAGCCTCCTCACATCACTCATCATTCCCTCACATAAGGCCCTCAGCCTCAACCAGTCCAAAAATAGTCAAAAGACCCCTCGGGCATCAGTAAAACAATAATACTCAGCTCAAACAATAGTCCAAATATCAGTTAAAACTCTAAGTTTGAGTAAATATAGTTGAGTTAATGAAACAGTATAAATCACATGGACTGAGTTCAAATAATATTTCAAATAGTGAGGAAAACAGTGATGATAGTTCATAAGGAGTTCAAACAGTCGGCAATAAGCCCCAAATATGGCAAATAGCCCAAATCACAGTGTAAAACAACAAGTCATAGTTAATACGCGGTAAAATATCCTCCGGATTGGACCAAGTCACAATCCCCAATAGTAAATGACCCCATGCTCGCCATTGAACGTGTGTCTCATCTCAACACAGCACCAAGTTGTGCAAATCCGGGGTTTCAAACCCTCAGGACGTCATTTAAAATCATTACTCACCTCTAGCCGGCCAAAAGTCTAGATCGCCAAGCCCTTTCCCCTCGAATCGACCTCCTCGCGCGTTGAAACTGATCAAAACCATAAGGAATACATTACAATAGGCCAAAGAAACATAACCCAATCGAAAATACTCAAAAAACGTCGAAAATCATGAAGTTGGCAAAACCCGAGCCCTGGGCCCACTTCTCGAAAAATTACAAAATTCACATCTCCGGATTCCTCGTCTCGCCACGAGTCTATACATATCAAATTTACCAAAATCGGAGCCCAAATGCCCCCTCAAATCCCAAATTTTCATTTCAAAAACCAAGCCCTAGTTCTTCCAATTTTTACCCAATTTTTCCAAGAATTAAAGGTTGATTCTTCAATAAAATGATGTTTCTAGGCCATAGGACTTACCTCCAATCGATTCCCAGTCAAAACTCTCTAAAACCCCGTCAAGAGCTCTCAAGCTTGCTCAACAATGGAGGAAAATACATAACCCTCGCGGATGAAAAATGATATTAAACTCTTACTGGCCTTCAGGGGTTTCCGCTTCTGCGGTCCCCATGCCCGCTTTCGCGTGACCGCTTTTGCGGTCCTTGTCCGCTTAAGCGGAATCTCATTAAATCTCAGAGGCCGCTTCTGTGACTCATTTCCCGCTTCTGCGGAACTTCACCCCCAGGCCCAAACCGCTTCAGCGGTGACTTTTCCGCTCATGCGGATCCGCTTTTGTGAATACCTTTCCGCTTCTGCGGAAACTACTCAGCCTCACCCTCTTCCGCACCTGCGATGCCTTCTCCGCTTCCGCAGAGCCGCATCTGCGGTCTCCTTTCCGCAGATGCGGAAATACCTGCTGCAACCAAGAACCTGCAATTTCCAACTTCAATTTCTTTTCTTCCGTTTAACCACCCGAAATCACCCCGAGGCCCCCGGGACCTCAACCAAAAATACCAACACATCCTAAAACCCCATTCAAACTTGTTCCCATCCTCAGAACACATCAAACATTGCTAAAACCATTAAATCGCATCGGATTCAAGCCTAAGTTTCTTAAAAACTTCCGAAATACGCATTCGATCAAAAACCCAACCAAAACATCTCCGAATGACCTGAAATTTTGCACACACATCCAAAATCACCTAACGGAACTACTGAAACTCTCGGAATTCCATTCCGACCCCCGGATCAAAATCTCACCCACCAACCGGAATTCGCCAAAATACTAACTTCGCCAATTCAAGCCTAATTCCACACCGGACCTCCGAAATCACTTCCAATCACGCTCTTAAGTCACAAATCATCCCCCAAAGCTAACCGAATCACCGGAAATCACATCCGAGCCCTCTAACTCAATAGTCAACTTCCGGTTGACTTTTCCAAAACAAGCTTTCCTTAAAGAGACTAAGTGTCTCATTTCCATCTAAAACCAATCCAATTCAACTCGATCACCTCAAATACCGATAATGAGCATAGAGAAACATAATATGTGGAAAACGGGGCGGTAACTCACGTGACGACGGGCCGGGTCATCACATTTTGAGGTTACTTGTCTGTGATCGCTAGATATTTGTTCTTGCTCCCAAGTATGATTTAATAACAAAAAATTTAAATTGATACCAAAATTGTAAATATA